GGTCTTCAGGGGGGCCCCAACAGGTGCTGCTGCTGCTGCTGCTGCTGCTGCTGCTGCACTGGGTCCTGAATTAGAGGTTTAGGGTTTAGGGTTTAGGGTTTAGGGTTTGTAAAAAGCATTTTGCTTTTAATTATACTTTTGTTTCTGTGGCCTGCCTCTGCGATTTCAGGTGTCTCCGCAGACACCCGATTATAAGGCCAACGGCTCTCATTGGAAATAAATAAATAAATAAATAAATAAATAAATAAATGAAAGAATAAATAAATAAATAAATAAATAAATAAATAAATAAATAAATAAATAAATGAATAAACATTCAAATAATTTATTTCTTTCTCTGTTTTATTCTTCATTTATTTTTAGAATAAACAATATCACTTCTTTTCTATTTCAAATACCTATTGCAGCAGCAGCAGCAGCAGCAGCAGCAGCAGCAGCAGCAGCAGCAGCAGCAGCACAGGGGGCCCCTGGGGGGCCCCCCAGGGGGCCCCCCGGGACCCGCGGGGGCCCCCGGGGGCCCCCAAGAAAGAGATGAAGTGAAATTAAAAAAAAGTTTTGAAGAAAGAAATAAAAAATAAAAAATAAAAATAAAAAATAAAAATAAAAATAAAAAAGAAGACAGCAGCAGTGTGGGGTTTTGCTGCTGCAGGTCTTTGCTGCAGTCTTGTCTTTCAATGAAGTCCCTTGCGACATATTTAATTAATTAAATTAAATTTAATTAATTAAATTAAATTAAATTAAATTAAATTAAATTAATTTAATTTAATTAATTTAATTTAATTTAATTTAATTTAATTTCTAATTTTGCTTCAATGGGGTCTGAGGTGTATGTACACCCCAACTCCGGGGGGCCCCCGAAGCTGCAGCGGCGGCAGCAGCTGCTGTGTCTTGTTGGAATGCGAGCAGCAGCAGCAGCAGCAGCAGCAGCAGCAGCAGCAGCGTGCGGGTTGTTGACTTGGACGAGTTCATGGGCAAATACTTCATGCAGAGGACTGCAGGGCTTGCTGCAGCCAATCAGACAGCAGCAGCAGCAGCAGCAGCAGCAGCAGCAGCCTGTGGAGTGCTGCTGCTGCGAGGGGCCCTCTGGCTGCCGCTCTGTGAAGGCCTGGCGTTCTGCTGCCTTTCCTCTCCACTGCAGCAAACGGCAGCAGCAGCAGCAGCAGCAGCAGCTGCAGCAGTTCATCCGCAGCCACGGATGTGCTGCTTTTAGGCGCCTCGAAGCAGCAGCGCTAGCCTTCTGTTTGTATATGGCAGATCCTGCTGCTGCTGCTGCTGCAGCTGCTGCTGCTGCTGCTGAGGCCTCCCCGTTCTCCTCTAGCAGCAGCAGCAGCAGCAGCAGCAGCAGCAACAGCTGCTGCTGCTGCAGCTTTCGCGGGTTTCACATAGTGAAATGCTCAGCAGCTAATCTCTGGCATGTCCAGTCGCCTTCCACAGTCCAAAGAATACGCAGCAGCAGCAGCAGCAGCAGCAGCAGCAGCAGCAGCAGCAGCAACAGCAGCAGCAGCAGCAGCAGCGCGACTTCGGACTGCGGCTACTGCGGCACTGCTGAGTGCTTCACAGCGAACATCAGCGACGAGGAGCTGCTGCTGCTATTTGGCACAACCCCACAGCAGCAGCAGCAGCAGCAGCAGCAGCAGCAGCAGCAGCAGCAGCAGCAGCAGCAGCAAGAGAGTATGCTGCTGCTGTCGTGCGGCGGCGGCACTCTTCACTATCCAGAAGGCGAGCAGCTGCTGCGGGAGGAGCAGCAGCTGCTGTGGGTTAGGACTTCGCAGCAGCAGCAGCTTTACAACTTACTCATGGTCTGCTGCTGCTGCTGCTGCTGCTGCTGCAGTTGCTGCTGCTGGTCGTTTTGCTGCTGCTGGCGTTGTTAGAAACGCAGGCGCTGGTGTTTCAGCAGCAGCAGCTGCTGCTGCTGCTTCGCTTTTGCTTCTGGCGTTGGTTCTGCTGCTGCTGCTGCTGCTGCTGCTGTGTCTCGCTGCAAACCAGAGCAGCAATTGCTGCTGTGCTGCAGCTGCTCGATTTGCTGCTGCTGCAGGTAGGGGAAGGGCCCCTTTGCTTCTCTCCGTGCCTCCGCAGCTTGCCGTGGAGGCAGCAGCAGCAGCAGCAGCAGCAGCAGCAGCAGCAGCAGCAGCAGAACGAGTGCATAGCGTGCATGCTGCGAGCTGCTGTGAAGCGTCTGGGGCTTGCTGCTGCTGCTGCTGCTGCTGCTGCTGCAGTTCAGTACCAGTGCAGCATCGATGCTGCAGCTGTCGAGATTGCGAGCAGCGCAGCAGAGGCAGCAGCAGACCAGCAGCAGCAGCAGCAACAGCAGCAGCAGCAGCAGCAACAGCAGCAGGCGGGCTGGTGCGGCGCGTGTCCTTCTGCTGCTGCGTGTCAGAGGCAGCGCCTTGCTGCTTCCTTAGGGCTCCTTTCATTCAAGCAGCAGCAGCAGCAGCAGCAGCAGCAGCAACAGCAGCAGCAGCAGCAGCAAATCAAGGCAGCAGATCCCTCGAGTAGCGTGTTGCTGCAGCCCCTATCTATCCTGCAGAGCTTCAAGTGCAGCTGCAAGCAGCAGCAGCCGGACCCACAGCAGCAGCAGCAGCAGCAGCAGCAGCAGCGGCTGCTGCTGCTGCCGCAGTGCGTGCAGCCCACTGCTGCTGCTGCTGCTGCTGCGCTGCGCCTTGCTGAAGTGTATGCAGCAAGACTGCCTTTGCTGCAGCAGCTCAGCACCAGCTGTCTATACACCCCAGGCATGGGCCCTTTCTTTCGTGCTGCTGCTGCCCTAACGGACGCCCCCGCTGCTGCTGCTGCTGCTGCTGCTGCTGCTGCTGCTGCTGCTGCTGCTAGCAGCACCAGCGCAACTGCGGCAGCACCAGACTGCAGCAAAGGCGGGCAAGCAGCAGCAGCAGCAGGATCAGCAGCAGCAGCAACAGCAGCAGCAGCAGCAGCAGCCTCTCTTCCCCCTGAAGTGCTGCTGCTGCTGCGAAGCGACATGGAAGAAATACCAGCAGCAGCAGCAGCAGCAGCAGCAGCAGGAGGGCCTATGCTGCCTGTGTCTGCATTAAAGCTGCTTGCTGCTGCAGCAACACACTACATGACCTTCGGTGCTGCTGCTGCTGCTGCTGCTTTCTTTCGCGAGCTGCTGCTGCGGGCTTCTCCGCCGCTGCCTGGCAGCACATTTTTGACTCTGCCGCAGCAGCTGCTGCTGGCTGCAGCAGGCACAAACCAGCAGCAGCAGCAGCAGCAGCAGCAGCAAGAGTTGCTGCAGCAGCAAGCAAGAGAAGCACGCGAGTCCGTAGCTAGAAGTCCAGCGGTAGCCGCTGCTGCTGCTGCGGCCACTGCTGCTGCTCTTGCTGCTGTTGCTGCGGTGGTTAGGGCGACGGCCGCAGCAGCAGCAGCTGCTGCTGCTGCTGCCGTTGCTTCTGCTGCTTGCTGCAGTAATACTCCTTGCTGCTACGGAGGCCGCGAGAGGCTCTTTAGTTTCTGTTGCTGCTGTTGCTGCTGCTACCGTTGCTGCTGCTGGCGGCGCTGCTCCTGCCGTTGCTGCTGGTGTTGCTGCTGCTGCCGTTGCTGCTGCTGTTGCTGCTGCTGCTGCTGCAGTCGCTTTTGCTGCTGCTGCTCCTGTGTGTGGGAACGCTCAGCTTCTCCCTCTGCGAGTTAAGAGCCGACTGGCTGCTGCAGCAGCTACAAGATGATGCACAGGCAACCCTGCAGCAGCAGCAGCAGCAGCAGCAGCCTCAGCAGCAGCAGCAGCAGCAGCAGCAGCAGCAGCAGCAAGAAGAGTGTGTTCCCAGTGCAGAAGGTGAAATTGAAAGCTACAAATCTGCTGCTGCGGCTTTTACAGAAGAGGCGCTGCTCACGGCTGTTGCAAATTGCAAGTAAGTTTAGGGTTTAGGGTTTAGGGTTTGGGGTTTAGGGTTTAGGGTTTAGGATTAGGGTTTAGGGTTTACGGCTTATTTGCGCTGCAGCATCTTACTTGGCTGCTCTCTGCTGCTGACCTTCCGCACAGCAGACGAAGGCGGAGCACTGCCAGCAGCAGCAGCAGCAGCAGCAGCAGCAGCAGCAGCAGTGTCCCCCATTGCTGCAGTCCCACAAAGACCATGGAGGAGGACCCGAGCTGCTGCTGCTGCTGCTGCTGCTGCTGGTCTTCGCCGCAAGAGCCAGTGGTGTCTCCTGCACAGACGAAACAGGAAAGCAGCAGCAGCAGCAGCAGCAGCAGCAGCAAGAACAGCAGCAGCAGGAGTCGAGGCTGCAGCAGCAGCAGCAAAAGAGCTCCTGGAGTACTGGCAGCAGCAGCTGCTGCTCTGCAGCAACCCTGCTGCCTTTGTGGACCTTCAGTGCCGCTACTTGCTGGCGCTGCTGCCGCCAGCTGCTAGCCGTCGACACGTTGCTGCTGCTGCTGCTGCTGCTGCTGCTGCTGCTGCTGCTGGTCATTCACAGAAAAACAGCAAAGACAATAAGACTGACGAGGGCAGCACAGACCCCACAGCAGCAACAGCAGCAGCAGCAGCAGCAGCAACAGCAGCGCTGTGGCGGCTGCCGCGGTGGTGGCTTAGTACTTTGAGGCCTGCTGCTGCTAGACAGCCTCTAGTCAGCAGCAGGAAGGCCTGCACAGCAGCAGCAGCAGCAGCAGCAGCAGCAGCAGCAGCAGCAACAGCAGCAGCAGCATCACCCTCTGGAATTGTGGCCGCAACTGCAGCAGCAGCACAACCAGCATCAGCAGCATTTCAGCCCGCAGGGGCAGCATACCAGCCAACAGCAGCAGCAGCAAAACCAGCAGCAGCAACAGCAGCAGCAGCAGCAGCAGCAAACTTTGAACATCTTGGGCTTCTTTATTTTAAAAAGCAGCGCCGGCCTCCTCTGCTGCTGCTGCTGCGTAACTCCCGCGGTGTCTTTGCTGCTGCAGCACCGAGCAAAATGAGCAGGCAGCAGCAAGCAGCAGTCAAGCGTGTCATAGCAGCAGCAGCAGCAGCAGCAGCAGCAACGGCTGCTGCTGCTGCTGCGCGGCTGCGGCGCGTAAGGTTGAGGCGACTGCACCTTCATCGACGTAAACGCAGTGCAGCAGCAGCAGCAGCAGCAGCACAGCCAGTAGCAGCAGCAGCAGCAGCAGCAAAAGACGCGGAGTCAGCCAGTTCTTTGGAGCCTAGTTTAGAGAAACAGCGACAGCAGCAGCAGCAGCAGCAGCAGCCGCAGCGGCAGCAGCAGCAGCTGCTGCTGCTGATGCAGCAGGTGCAGCAGCTTTGGGAGGCCCTCTCTAGCCTTCCGACGTCTAACGCTGTGCTGCAGGGAGAAGGGGGAGCAGCAGCAGCAGCAGCAGCAGCAGCAGCAGCAGCAAAGAGAGAAGCAGCGGGAGAAGCAGCAACTGCTGCAGCAGCTCAAGTCAGGAAGCTAATTGCGGGGCTTCTGGCTCTTAAGAAGGCTTTGCTGATGCTGGCCGAGAGACCCCGCGCTGCTGCTGCTGCTGCTGCTGCTGCTGCTGCTGCTGCTGCTGGTGTAGAGCCCGACTTGCTGCTCTCCGCATGCACAAGAGAAACTACAGCGGTGGCGTTTGCTGCTGCTGTTGCTGCTGCTGCTGCAGCAGCAGTTGAAAGGCTCAGGGCGCTGCTGCTGCGCATTGCTACTGCTGCAGTTGCTGCTGCAGCAAACAACAAAACACGGGTGATTGGCTCTGTCCATATGCAGCAGCAGCCGCTGCTGCTGCAGCAGCTGCTACAGCAGCAGCAGCAGCAGCCAGCAGCAAGTGGACTCAAATGGCGTTTCCTAATGTAAGGTTCGAAACAATGCTGCAGCTGCTGCCGCAGCCACAAGCGTTCCTGCTGCTGCTCGCGCCGCTGCTGCTGAGCAGCAAGTGGACTCAAATGGCGTTTCCTAATGTAAGGTTCGAAACAATGCTGCAGCTGCTGCCGCAGCCACAAGCGTTCCTGCTGCTGCTCGCGCCGCTGCTGCTGCTGCTGCTGCTGCTGCTGCTGCTGCTGCTGCTGCTGGGCTCTTCAGCCAAGCTGCTGCTGCCTCTCTGCGGCCTGCTGCTGCTCTCAGGGCATCTGCTGCACTATTGTCTTTGCCTTTTATCTCTGTTGCTAAGCTTGTTTTGCTTCCCCCCGAAACAGCAGCAGCCAGCAGCAGCAGCAGCAGCAGCAGGGAACAGCAGCAGCAGCAGCAGCAGCAGCAGCAGCAGCGCGCCTTCTCAGAGCTATCCGCGGTGCTGCAGCAGCTGCTGCAAAAGCCCCTCATATTTTTACTGGGGGGAAGCAGCTGCTGCTGGTCGCGGGTTTGCTGCAGCACTTTATCACCTTGCTGCAGCGCAACAGGCCCAGGGGTAAACCCTAAACCCTAAACCCTAAACCCTAAACCCTAAACCCTTTCCCTGTTTTCACGCTCTCAGCAAACTCTAATTCTCTTGGTAGAAGGTTACTGAAAGCCTCTAAGGCCTAGGGTTTAGGGGCCAGGGTTTACTGCACAGTTTTCAGAGCTTAGGGTTTAGGGTTTAGGGTTTAGGGTTTAGGGTTTAGGGTTTAGGGGCTTACCTTTGCAGCGCTGCTTTGCCCTTTTTTGCCTGGCATTTGCAAGATAAGGCTTAAAGAGCAGCAAGCAGCAGCAGCAGCAGCAGCAGCAGCAGCAGCAGCAGCAGCAGCAGCAGCAACGTGCGTTTTTCTGTGTTCAGGTGTATGGACAGATGCCGCGGCCGCTGCTGCTGCAGCTGAAGCAGCAGCAGCAGCAACTTTGCTGCGGTGTTTTCCTTTTGGGCTATCCCACCCCCAAGTCGCCTACTCCTTACTTGTACTCCCTGCTGCTGCAGCACCTGCAGCAGCAGCAGCAGCAGCAGCAGCAGCAGCAGCAGCAGCAGCAGCTGCAGCACGTCTACGCCACCTTCTTTCCCCCCTTAGCAGAGCAGCACAGCTACCTCGCGCTGCTAGAGCAGCAGCAGCAGTTGCTGCAGCAGGAGCAGCAGCAGCAGCAGCTGCTGCTGCTGCAGCAGGAGCAGCAGCAGCAGCAGGCGGAGTTCGCACGTTGGCTGCAGCAGCTGCTGCAGCAGGACCTGCTGCTGCTGGGCGGCGCCTCTGTGACCATTCCCTTCAAAGAAGCAGCAGCAAAATATGTCGAGGAGGTCCACTGGTCAGCAGCAGCAGCTGGAGCAGTGAGGAGCTGCTGCTGCTGCTGCTGCTGCTGCTGCTGCTGCTGTTACTGTGGATTCTGCTGCTGCTGCTGTGAAGGCCGTTTGCTGCTGTTCGCTGCTGTCTTTTTTCTTTACTTTGCTGCTGCTTCTCAGCTGCTTTTGCTGCTTCTGCTGCTGCTGCTGCTGCTGCTGCTGCTCATTGCCGTCTCTTTCTCTCACCTGCTCCTAGCGCTCAGGGTTTAGGGTTTAGGGTTTAGGGTTTAGGGTTTAGGGTTTAGGGTTTAGGGTTTGTGCGCAGGTCAATACCCTCTTCTGGAACTCTAAGGGCCAACTCATGGGAGCCAACACTGACACCTACGCTATAGAGAAGGCGCTGCAGCACCACAGAAAAGTCAGTGCTGCTGCTGCTGCTGCTGCTGCTGCTGTTGCTGCTGCTGCTGCTGCTTCTGTTGCTGCTGCTGCTGATGCTGCTGCTGCTGCTGATGCTGCTGCTGATGATATTCTGCTGTCGAATGCAGTGTTCCGCGTGCAGTCTGTGCTGCTGCTGCTGCTTTTGCAGTTGCTTTTGCTGCTGCTGTTGCTGCTGCAGCACTGAGCCGTGAGACAAGGGTTTAGGGTTTAGGGTTTAGGGTTTAGGGTTTATTCTGCTGCAGCCCGAAAATGTCTGCTGCATTCTGCTGCTGGGAGCCGGAGGAACTGCAAGGGCCGCTTTAGCGGCTATCAACCGCTGGCGAAGCAGCAGCAGCAGCAGCAGCAGCAGCAGCAGCAGCAGCAGCAGCAGCGAGTGCTGCTGCAGCAGCAGCAAAGTGAGGGTTTTGATATTCAACAGAACCCTTAAGAGGGCAGAGGAGCTCGCGAAAGATTTTGGGGCGGAGGCAGTAGCATCTGCTGCTGCGCTGCAGCAGCAGCACATTGATGCCATCGTAAACCCTAAACCCTAAACCCTAAACCCTAAACCCTAAAGCCTCAACGTAAACCCTAAACCCTAAACCCTAAACCCTAAACCCTAAAGCCTCAACGGCAAACCCTCGACAGGACGTTTCTACACCTGCAGCTTAAACCCTCAGTCCCAAAATATCCCCGTCTACCGTCCCTCCCACAGTTTAGGGTTTAGGGTTTAGCGTTTAGGGTTTAGGGTTTAGGGTTTAGGGTTTAGGGTTTAGGGTTTAGGGTTGCGTGTGCAGATCAACGTCCGCCCCGCAGCAGCGCCGCTGCCTCTGTCTTCTTTTGCTTTTAATCGGAAACCCTTAATTGTGGAATTGGCTTATGCGCCTCCTGTAACCCCTTTAATTGAAAAGGTCTAAACCCTAAACCCTAAACCCTAAACCCTAAACCCTAAACCCTTGATGCGAAGCCCTCTAGTGCAAAATAAAGTCTTTAAACGGATTCCATGCAACGACTAGAGATACCGCCGCGCCCAGAAAACCCTCGCTAGGGTTTAGGGTTTAGGGTTTAGGGTTTAGGGTTTAGGGTTTAGGGTTTGGGTGTGTGGCTTTCAGGGGGAGCGTTTGGGGTGTATTTGCGTGTCGGGGTTTTCTCTTGATGCGAAGCCCTCTAGTGCAAAATAAAGTCTTTAAACGGATTCCATGCAACGACTAGAGATACCGCCGCGCCCAGAAAACCCTCGCTAGGGTTTAGGGTTTAGGGTTTAGGGTTTAGGGTTTAGGGTTTAGGGTTTGGGTGTGTGGCTTTCAGGGGGAGCGTTTGGGGTGTATTTGCGTGTCGGGGTTTTCTCTTTTTCTTTGGCAAGCCCAAAAGCAAAGTCAATTAATAATAAAGGGTTTAATAAATAAAAATAAAAATAAAAATAAAATAAATAAAAATGAAATAAATAAAAAAGAAATAAATAAAAAAGAAATTGGAGATAAAAAAGAAATAAAAGAAACAAAAATAAACTCAAATGGAGAAAGAGAAGGCCGCGGGGATCACGCAGCAGCAAGAAGCGAAAATGAAGAAACAGTCCGTCTAAACCCTAAACCCTAAACCCTAAACCCTAAACCCTAAACCCTCATAGCGCACACTTGCTGTTTGCAGCCTCGCGGTTTTGCCGCTGTGGCGTGAAGCCGCCCCGTCTAGGGTCTAGGGTTTAAAGCTCTTGCTTTTTCCGAGGGTTTAGGGCTTAGGGTTTAGGGTTTAGGGTTTAGGGTTTAGGGTTTGCTGCGCTCAGAAAATGAACTGGGGAGAAGCCCCGGCTGGCTGGCGGTCTGCTTGGAGGTTTTCTCTTCCTTTTGTTTTTAATTATTTCGAAAAGACTTTCAAACATTCCCTCCACTTAAACCTCGAAGACTACCTCTAAACCCTAAACCCTAAACCCTAAACCCTAAACCCTAAACCCTCGGGGCGGCCTGCACGCTGCAGCGCGAGCCGGCGCATCGCACAACTGCAGATGCATGCAAAAGGAAATATATTTTTAATTGTTTTTATAAATATATATTATTTAATTATTCATTTAAAGTAATTAAATAAATATTATAACTTATTTAATTATTTTAAATCCAAAAGAAGGACCTCGCGCAGTTTAGAAGCGTTGAGGGTTCAGGTGTACGTACACCTGAAAGCCAACAGGACTTTCGGGAAAAGCCAAAAGTTGCATTAAACATTTTTTTCAATTTATTTCTTTTGGAGTTTTCTTCTTTTCTCAGTTATGCAGAGACTTTTGTTTATATCAGCGTAAACCCTAAACCCTAAACCCTAAACCCTAAACCCTTTAACATGCGCTCGAGACAGCGAATTTGCTTTTTAGGGAGCTGCAGCAACCCTAAACCCTAAACCCCAAACCCTAGTCCGCAACCGCTAAGAGTTAAACCCTAAACCCTAAACCCTAAACCCTAGTTTGCAGCCTTTGAACGCTAAACCCTAAACCCTAAACCCTCGCGGGGTTGGCGCGCGTCAGTTTCAGTAGAAGAAATGAGCGGACTTGGAGTTTTTGTTAGTGGATGTTGAAGCAGAGAAATAATAAAATTATAAATATAATTATAATTAAAATATAAATATAATTACAATTATAAATATAAATATAATTACAATTATAAATATAAATAAAAGAGAAAAAAGCGAAAGAAAAAGAAGTCGCACTTGTGCAAAAAGAAAGAAACAAAAAAGTCAATGAACACCAACACAATAAATATAAACATAAACATAAACATAAATATAAATATAAATATAAATAAATATAAATAAATATAAATATAAATATAAATAAATATAAATATAAATAAATATAAATATAAATATAAACATAAATAAAGGAATTGGAATTAATTCAAATCCACTTGCGCGCTCAAACTGAGGTGTACGTACACCTCAAGTCCCACAGCTTCATCGGAATTGTTTTCTGCATAATTTCAAAACGGATAAACCGGTCCCATTAATAAAATAAATAATAAATAAATAAATAAATAAATAAATAAATAAATAAATAAATAAATAAATAATAAATAATAAATAACAATTGATTGATAAATGAATAAAATGCACATCTGCATAAAGGCGCATGCACAGAAAAAGGCATAAATGCCACATGTGCATGTGCGCAATCATTCATTTATTATTTATTTATTTATTTATTTATTTATTTATTATTTATTTATTTATTTATTTATTTATTTATTAATATTTCTAACTGTATTCCACCTGCCGCATTTCTCTATATACCCACAGAGGCCAGGCGGCGCTACCGTAGATTGTAAGAAGAGTAGTTAATCCCTGAAGCAGCAGCAGCAGCAGCAGTTGCTGCTGCTGCTGCTGCTGCTGCTTCTGCCGGTATTGCAGCAGCTTCTGTTGCTGCTGCATTGGCCGCTGCTGCTGCTGTGGCATCAGCTCACGGGCCTTCGTAGAAGTGCTGCTGCTGCTGCTGTGGCTGCAGCAGCATCTGCACCACCTGCTTCTATAGCTGCAGCACCTGCTGCTGCTGCTGCTGCTGCTGCGGCCGCAGCAGCAGCAACCTGCATTACTTGCTGCTTGAACTGCCGTTGCTGCTGCAACTGCAGCAGCAGCCCCGTTCCCACCTGCTTCTTCAACTGTTCCAGAGTCTGCAGCATAACCTTTATAACCTGCTGCTGCAGCACTTGCTGCTGCAGCGGTTGGCGCTGCTGTTGCTGCTGCTGCTGCTGCTGCTGCTGCTGCATTAGTCGTAGAGGGGGCTGCCGCCTCCCAGCGTCCACTGGGGCTGGTTTTCGTCGTCGCAGCCCCTGCTGCTGCTGCTGCTGCTGCTGCTGCTGTCCATGGCGGTAGACCACTGGTTTGCTGCAGCAGCAGCAGCAGCAGCAGCAAAGACCCCCTTGAACCTTTTGGCTTCTGACAGCAGCGGGTAGTCCACGAAGGTGTGGGGCCGCGCAGCAGCAACTGCATGCAGCTGCTGCAGCAGCAGCGACACAACACAAATGTCGAGATCTCCAATTGCTTCTTGCTGCTCAATGAAGGGCCAAAACAAGTGCAAATACGGCAGCACCTCAGCCCAACACTCGTGCTGCTGCTGCTGCTGCTGCTGCTGCTGCTGCTGCTGCTGCTGCTGCTGCTGCTGCTGCTGCTGCTGCCTGATCGAGCTTTTCTGAGGAAGTTTGGGCTTCATCAGCGGGTTGGCTATTGGGCTGCTGGAGTTGCGTGTTGCTGCCGGCCGGAGTTGCTGCTGCTGCTGCTGCTTCGTCGCCTTCGTGCCGCTGCTGCTGCTGCTGCTGCTGCTGCTGCTGCTGCTGCTGCTGCTGGGGCTGCCAGACGGCAGCAGCAGCAAGGGTGTGGCGGTGCTGCTGCAGCGCGAACCAGCGGACCCACTTGTCTTGTTGAGAATAATTTAATCTGTTTAAAACCCAAGAAGCTACGGTGTCTAGACAGATGAGCAGCACTTGCCGCAGCAAAACTCGAGTTTGCTGCGGCAGACACTGCAGGCAAAAGGGCGCGCTGCTGCACTGCAGCAGCAGCGCGCAGCTGCTGCAGCTGCTGCTGCTGCTGCCGCACCTGCTGCAGCACCAGCTCGCCTCCGGCCCCGCCCCCTCCTCCAGCCCCGGCACCCCCTCGCCCCAGCTGCTGCTGCTGCTGCTGCTGCTGCTGCTGCTGCTGCTGCTGCTGCTGCTGTGGGGCCCCACGTGCTGCGCGTACTGCCGCCGGCCCTCCAGCAGCGCCACTTCCACTGTAGAGACACCCCAGTGGGGGGGCCCCCGCCGCCCCACAGGGGCCCCCAGGGGCCCCCGGGGGCCCCTGGGGGCCCCCAGGGGGGCCCCCGGGGGGCCCCCAAACCCTTCTTGAGATAAACAATTTTCTGCAAGAGTTAAATTGACTTTTCTTCTTCTGCCTACAGCCAGTCGCCGCGAGCGGCGGCGAGAACTGAGGCCCTGAGAATAAATAAATAAATAAATAAATAAATAAATAAATAAATAAATAAATAAATAAATAAATAAATAAATAAATAAATAGTTTATTATTTTTCTTTTTTTGAATCTTCTTTTGGGTTTTTATTTGGTGGTTTATTTGCCCTTTTTGCTGCTGCTCCAGTGGCAGCAGTCTACGCAGCGCAGCAGCAGCTGCTGCCGCAGCAACGAGGGTTTAGGGTTTAGGGTTTAGGGTTTAGGGTTTACGGGCACAAGGGCTTCAAACAAGTCATTGCTTTCCGAGGCTTCTTCTTTCTCAATATAAGGAGTAATCGAATTGCTGCTAAAGGTATGGGGGGCCCCCTCAAGGGGGCCCCCCAAGGGTACAGTCTGGGGGCCCCCCCCCCCGCTGCTGGGGGGGGCCCCCTCAGGGGGCCCCCCGGGGGGCCCCCCGGGGGCCCCCACAGACAGGGGCCCCTCAGGGGGGCCCCCAGGGGGCCCCCGAGAGGCCTGCATGCGCCTAGCCCACAGGGCCTCTAGCTGGGATGTGCTGGCAGCAGCTTGCAAAGTGCTGCTGCTGCCAGAGTCGCTGCCTGCTGCCTGCAGCAGCAGCAGCAGCAGCAGAAGCAGCAGCAGCAGCAGCAGCAGCAGCAGCAGCAGCAAAGGGGGAGGAGGTGGAGATAGCGAGGAGGACACGGAATTGACGGGACGGGCGGTGGAAGGCCCCGGACACAGATTCAAACCCTAAACCCTAATTCCCAAACTTTCAACTCTAAACCCTAAACCCTAAACTCTAAGCTTTAAATGTTGAGCCTAATCGCTAAACTCTAGATGCGCTTTTCAAAGACAGCCCAGCAAAGACGCGTTAGGAGAGAGAATCACCTCAACCCTAAACCCTAAACCCTAAATTAGGGTTTAGGCCTACTTGGCTTACTTTTGGGTCTTTGATTTCATGACGGTCGTCATCATCTCGAGGTGTTCGAGTTGGAGTGCAAATGCCATCCTCTATACACACAAACCCTAAACGTTAAACCCTAAACCCTAAACCCTAAACCCTAAACCCTAAACCCGAAGCGCTAAACCCTAAACCCCAAACCCCAAGCCCTAAATAGTAAAGCCGGAGCCGCCCTTATCTCTGCTTGTGGAAACACCACTCGAAGGTCCACGCAGACCCAAAGTCCCAAACCCTAAACCCTAAACCCTAAACCCTAAACCCTAAACCCTAAACCCTAGTGAGGCGAACCTGCAGCGTTTCTCCAATTTGCAAGGGCCTCTGCTGGCAAGTCGAGGATTGAAGAACAATCCTAAAAAGAAAAAATGAAAAATGAAAAATGAAAAATGAAAAATGAAAAATGAAAAATGGAAAATGCAAACGAGGTGTACGTACACCTCAAGGTGTCTATACACCCCAGCGCACGGAAACCCCAAATTCGGCAAAATCGAAATTTTGAAAATAAATAAAATAAAATAAAATAAAATAAAATAAAATAAAATAAAATAAAATAAAATAAAAATGATAATATTTGTGAAGTAAAATGATTTGGACTTAAATGAAGTAAAATAAATCGAAATAAAAACAAATCAAAATAGAATCAGAAGGGGAGAAGTCACACGAGGGGAATAGAAGGACTAATGATGAATTTATTTATTTATTATTTATTGTTATTTATCTATTTATTGTTTATTTATTTATTTATTTATTTATCTATTTACTTATTTATCTATTTATTTACATACTTCTTTGTTCAGTTGCTTTTTTATATATTTATTTATTTATCAATTTATTTATTGAATTATGTATTTATTCCAATTGGAAATAAAATAAAGAAAAACAAAATCATGAATAATTATTTATTCTTTCATTCCTTCTTTTCTGTTTACCTACAGATCAACTAATCCATAAATCAATTTTATTTATTTTCATATTTATATATCCATTAATTAATTAATTAATTAATTAATTAATTAGTTTATTTATTTATTTATTTATTTATTTATTTTTATCATTTGAAGACTCACCAGCAAAACTGGCCTGGCGCCTTCAATGGGCTTTATGATGTGCGAAGAGCAAAAGCGAAGACCTGAAAAGAAAAATAAAATTAAAAATAAAATTAAAAATAAAATTAAAAATAAAATTAAAAATAAAATAAATAAACTAAGTAATTAAATAAATAAATAAAATAGATATATAAATAGATAAATTAACTCATTAATTGATTGATTGATTAATTAATTAATTAATTAATATATTCTTATAACCGATGAATTAATTGACAAAAAAAGAAATGAAAAAACAAATGGAAAGAGAAATGCATTAAGAAAAAAATAACAAAAGAGAAGATAAATAAAATAAAATAAAATAAAGAAAATTAAATAAGATAAAATAAAACAAAATAAAGTAAAATAAAACAAAAAAACAAACTGAAACAAAGTAAAATAATAAAATAAAGTAAAACATAAAAAAGCAAAATAAATAAAGATAAGCAAATGCAACAAACAAATAAAAATAAAGATAAAACAATAAGTGAAAGGTAAAAAATAGAAAAAGAAAGAAACAAAATAAGTAAAAGCAAATAATATAAAAAACAGTAAGATGGAAAATAAAACAAAATAAAACAAAATAAAACAAAATAAAACAAAATAGAACAAAATAAATAAAATTAAAGCGGCTCAAATAAATCAATAAAAACTATGTTAAATCAATAAATGGCTATTAAAATACAAAAAACGAAACAAAATAAATAAATAAAACAAGTACTGATAAAAAAATATATAATAATAAACAAAATAAATAAGCAAAACAAAATAAAATATATAATAATAAATAAAATAAATAAATAAAATGAATAAAATGAAATGAACAAAAGTAAAATAAATTAAAATGAAATAATACAAATAAAATAAAATAAAATAAAATAAATAAATGAAATAAATAAAAGTGAAATAAAATAAAACAAAACAAATTAAAATTAAAAACAAAAAAAAAAGTAAAATAAATAAAAAAGAAATAAAATAAAATAAAATAAAATAAAATAAAATAAAATAAAATAAAATAAAGTAAATAAAATAAAATAAAATAAAATAAAATAAAATAAAAATTAAAAAGTCTTACAAGCTTCGTAGGCCCTCAAAATGCAGCCGCCGTACATTTTGGCTGTGAAG